CACTGAAATATGATTTCTGGGAGAGAAAAAAAGGGAGAGGGTCTCAAAACAAAGTGGCTTGCCATATTGAGCATGACAAAACTACTAAATGCCCCTTCACCTGAAAGTCATCAACATTAACTATGTTCGGCTCCATTTTCATTCCAATTTGGAAATACTGTAGTATTGCCGTAATGTTTTTCCCTATTCCCACAACATGCTTGGCAGAAAGCTCTACTTCCTTTTCACTTTCGGTCATAACACAAGTGCAACCAACAACTTTTCTGGAAGCCGTTATTCTAACGTCCTTAAGCAATTTCCATGGTTTCCTTTTTACAAGTTTTGGGGTCAGGAAGGAAGAGCTTTTTATTCCTCGGAGCATCTCCTAGTTTTTCCTGCATCATCCAATTGTTAGTCTTGGCCCACATTATCAGTGAAAATAAACTCTCATAGAGGAAGTCACCCCTAAAATAGATAGGTTTCTCCTTGGATCCCCAGGCATGCTGTGTGGCCCTCTCATAGCATTAAGTAGAGAAACATATTCACCCTTTCTCGTATGAACACCCAGTATGGAAGGGAAACAAGCTGCTGCCAACATGTCGGTATATCCTTTTAAACCGCTGTTTATGCAGCATAGTCCTGTTCGTCGAGAGGCAGAATGATGGGAATTTCACAGGGATAAGATGACGATAGTTTTTTCCCCAGTCCCTTTGTGCAACAGCTTAGTTTGGCACAGGCTGTCCTTCCCAAGAAACACTGCACTCAACCACTTTCTATTGTCTCCACCAGGAGGGACATGAGAAGATATATTACTTTCACTCCCGAGAACAAGAAACTAAATTTGGCTTGCTGAACTCATGCCTGTGCCAAATTTTCATTGTCCTTGAAATATTAGAAAAGTAGAAGGGATGTTGTCAGGACATGCAGTAAGATGTGTGCTATATCTACTTTTATCCAGCACAACGTGTTCTTTTTCTAATATAACCCATCGCCACTCTCATATTTCCAAAAAGAGATACAGCCCACCAAAAGCCCAGCGGCTAGAATAACTGCCACTGAAAACAATGACCTGCCACACCAACCTGTTCACCAGACCTACTCCCTACCTGAGTTATAAACTCAATGCTTTTTTGGAACTGACCACAATGTGTCAAAAACTTTCAAGTATTAAAAGCTGGTAAGAATTTTTACCTGCTCTTTACTCTATTTTTCTAATTTTAGATCTACATTTATTTAGTGAGAGCTCCAGTGTTACAAGTCCCTGTGTTCAGAAAACATATTAGAGAAATTTGGCTTTTCAAAAAGGGTTTTGTATATTAAAGTTTGGTTTAAGTGTGTCAGAGCTTAAAAACTATCTCATCAACATCAACAATCTGCTCTACTCTTATGTTTTACAAAGGTAGCAGATAAATAAGCTGCCAGCCAAGCAAAAGAGGGCAACGTGAAATATGAATTTTGCTCAGTGAGTTTGTGGTGAATATGATGATTTTGGCAGTAACATTGTGCGTCTTCTGTGTTTCAGGTTGTATTCTGATTGGTCGGTTTGTAAATATGGGTTGGGCAGCAAGGACTTGACGGGAATTTGGTCCTAAATTTCTTCCACTGTCAGAATTTTGATGCAGCCCCCAGTTTAGAGCCATCAACTTTTGTCTGCAACACCCCAAAATTGAAGCATATTTCCATGATAGTTTTACCCCTATGATTAATTCGCCCGCTGTTTTATATGCTCTGTTCTCTTAATCTATTGATTTAAATTTTATCGCTGTTAGCTTTCTTATCCCTATTTCTGCAAAGCACAGTATAAGCACTATTTAATAAAGGTGCTGCAAAAATAAAGTGTATTGTAATTATCATTTTATGTGTGAAATATATTGTTTCCTGCTGCATTCTCTCTCTGAGATCAGAGCCAAAGATGTTTGAGGTTCCTCGGCCTTGCAGGCAGGCCAGGGAAGTAATCCTTGGACAAACACGGGCAACCTTTGACTGGTCAGGAATGTTATCAGGGTCCATATACTCTATCCTGGGTTGAGGAAGGAAAGATCTCAGACTTAAAATGCTTCCCCAACAGCTGTTTGCTGCATCACTCTTAACTGACCACCCCCCACACTGGACTGGGCACCCAGACACGGGGTTGCTATCTGGAATGGTCTCCTCCGTCCTTCTCTTTCATCAGAGCTGGCTGGAGCAACATCAGGGCGAGCTTTCTCTTAGACAAGCAGTAAAAACGCTGGTGTGATTAAGATAGATAGACTGGCCAGAACACTTAATCTTCTGTCCAATGAAAAATGTTAACTGCATCCTGATGTCCCCCCCATGCAGCGTAATTAGCCTGAATTACCACTGTGTGTTTAAGCGTCCCCTGAAATGCCTGTGCCAATTTCTTTCTTATGCTTATCTGTCTGTCTTATGCTGTATGCAGTCTAAGTTTTTCTTATGTTTTTCCATAATCTAATACTTTTTATATAATTACATGCATCTAGGGAATTTAATTTATACACATACACACAAAATATAATCCTATAATCTAACATATTATATCTTGTCGATATTGGATTTTTCTATTTTAAATGAAAAATACCTGTGGCCCGGCAGTGTTAGTATTAGTGGCGATGGCAGACGTTGTAACTTGCTCCCATTTTTACATCTGAGGAGAAAGTTGGTCTCATTAGTCAGACCTTCAGTCTACCAATGTTGCTGTTGTGTTTTCATAGTATCACTTGTACTATCACAGACAGATGAGGTCCACTGAGCAAAGATAAAGCTGGTGTTATTTCACCCCCTGGCCTTTCTTGACACATGGATTGCTTTTGGGAGCTGTATAGAAAGACACAGGTTTTTCAGACTTGAACAGTGAAAAAAGTAAAAAAGTCATTAATCAAAAGGGCAATTTTTTTTTTTTTTTTAATCAGGGTAACGCATATCTCTTTTCAGTTCTATAAAGCTGTATAAAATTGAATCCACACACACCTATATAAAATATGTGGTACACCCACCGCTCTTAAACCCATGACATACACCATGTACAGTAAATTCCTCTGCTAAACTGAGATAAAGGCAGTGATATACAGTCCAATGATGAGCTGATGTTGTACAGATTCTGTTCTGTAATCTCAAAATCTCTCTCATATGATATTTCATTTAGATTTGGAAATGTATGCTTTAGGAAGAAGACCTGAATTTGCAGGAGGGCGGAGTAGCCGCCAACACTGCACCTCCCTAAACACAAACTCAATCAACATCTCGCTGTAACCTACTTTGACCAGCACCTGGTTAATTGATGAGGAATGACTATTTCCTCCAACCTGAGGAGTGAAAAGTTTACTTTATGAGAGTAAATGAAAAACAGGCAGACAGCAGAGTGGGCCAGAGAGATTTGGGAGGATACGCTTATTGCTAATGAACAGTCTCTGGGTATTGATGAAGTTCAGGTTGATTTGACCCCCCCTCCCCGGTTCCACTGTAATCCATCAAATCCATTAGGTGTTATCTGTGCATGCAGTCGCTTCGTGTTACACCACCTTGTTCTGTAGACGAAAAATAAACCATTAGCTCTAAGCAATTAATCACAGATTGGACCTGCTGATCTTATTTGAGAAGGGCAATATTGTGGAAAGTCAAGGAGCAGGAGAGCCGGTTCTGCCGAATTTGGAAGTTTGTTTATTTGATTCATGTATTCATTTTCAGGGAGATAGTCTCACTCTCTTTGGAGACACAAAGTCTCAAAGCTTAAAAAAGCAGGGTGGCTGCCAAACCATATCAGCGATGGCCTCACAATTCACATCTCATTAACATTACAGTAGAACCATATTTGAACATAGTAAACATCATGGCACTATAAATAAATTGGAATTTTGCCATTCAGAAATAATTAAACATCATCATATCAGCTCAGATATAATGAGGATTGTGTTTATAGAGAAATCAAACAGGTTATGCATTTTTTTTTTTTTTTTTTTTTTTTTTTTTTTACATGTGAATCTGGAATTTGCAGTTATACTCACACATCCTTGACTTGAATAAATAAAGGGAGCATTTTCTTTCTGTGTCTTTTCCTTCTCTGAGTGTCTCTGGAGGCTCTTTCTGACTTCCTGCCATTAAAGAGACAGCCCACTGGAGAACAGGGGGTGACTGACATGTAACTACCTCTGCTCTATGACCGACGCTCTGTGCAACTCAACTGGACATCTGTGGAATTTACTCAAAGGGTAATTTACTCAGGAAAAAATAGAGAGAAAGTAGGAAAAAATAGGTTTTGGTGGACGGGTACAGAGACACAATGTGCTCGATGTCTATGAAGGCAGGAAAAAAATCAGACAGCTGTGTGACATCCAGAACAAAAAGTTCAGCTCAGTTAATGTACACAGTTACATAACAACATAGCAGAGTTAATATAAATTGTGATGATGGCTGGCTTCTACATTATCAACTGCATATTTTTTCGCTGTCTGATAAAACCATTTTGTCAAATTGAACTCCATGTGTTTTTGAGTTCATTTAAGAACACGGATCAGTGATCTTTTCAGTTCTACTTTTTTGTCACTGTCGTTTGTGCAAACATGTCCTCTCCCTGATATTTTATTTTGAAATTGGTCACACAGCATGACAGAGAATGCTCAACTCCTAAAGCACATAAACTCTCCTACTGACAGACACTTTGGCAAACAACACGTTGACTATGAGAAAACAGCAAACACTGCTCAGTTTTGGTCTGAGAGCCTCATCCAGAAACCAAAACAAGTTATCTAGTGAAGCCACAAACAGACGCTCTGCGGAGACCACACACCCACAGAAACATAAATATCTCAATAAACTATGCACTACACTGAGACCACTTCAAAAGAAATGGATACAGTAATGCAGGGATGTTATAGACGCAATTCAATGACCACTTCTTTTAGCATGGATCTAATTAAAAACAGGAAAATTCCTATTTCCATCTTGCATTTAGAAAACTAACAACTGATCCTCCTTGTTAAAGTCATGAAAGTTTTGGATGACACACCACCTGAGCTGCTCCTTACCTTCTGTAGCCACTGGGTATAATTCTCCATAATGTGCTCGAGCTGCTGGATCTTCTGGCTGGGAAACTCTGGCTCAGGTGGTGGGGCATCCCTCTGGAGAGAGTTGGCGTTGTACTGCGGGCTACCGGCTTTCGCCTCCCTGCAGGAGCCTCCTCCAGCTCCATCTCCCTCAGGTAGGATGAACGTGTAGGTGCACTGGCCGTGCTGGATCTTATGAAAACGTCTGTTGCTGTAGTTACTACCACTACTACCACTACTTCCTCCACTGCTGCTGCTACTGCTGCTGCTGCTGCTGCTGCTGCTGCTGCTGCTGCTGCTGCCGCTGCCGCTGCTGCCACCTGTGCTGCTGGTGCTGCTATCCGTCCCTCTCCTTTGCTCCCCTCCTCCGCAGCTCACAATCACCAGAACGGCCGCCAGCGAGAGCAAGTGGTGGCCAAAGTTGTACCACAGCATCATTTCAAAAGTGGTGCAGGTGAATTAAGTTCTTACGTATTTAGCTGCTCCTTCTTCCTCTGGCTGGATGTTCCCTTTGAAGCCGGATCAGAAAACGGTGAAGAACACCGTTAGCCTGGAACCTGTGTCATCCATCCTCACACTGGACCTCCAACATTGAGAGCTACTGCCGACTCTTTTGCCATGGACACTTACACGTGCTATGTTTCCAAAGCTCCTTTAAGTTTTTGTCCTGGCACACATCTCTTGCAGAATGACAGCTTGGTAATAAATCTTGATGTTCCTCCAGTAAAATCAAAGCCAGATGTGACCAGGCTGTGTGCTTGCATTTATCAGTCTGTGCATTTAAAGTAGGTGCCGCGGGTAAGCAGGGATGGTGTCGTCAGACCTCCCTCGGTCTGTCTGCCTTCCCTTCCTCCTCTGCTCTCTGACTTCACGACTGGGGAGAGTGAGAGAGACGCTCACTCTGAAGAGCAGTTCCAAGCTTCCAGCACACTCTGCGCCTGCCCCTTGCAGAGCCTGCACAGGAATGCATGTGCACGAGCGACCGTGTGTGTGTGTGTGTGTGTGTGTGTGTGTGTGTGTGTGTGTGTGTGATCCTGGCAGAAAGGGGACCCGAGCACAGAGGATGTGCTTAGACTGAGAGGATCAGTTTACAGGCTCTCTGACTGCAGGCTCATGTGGTTGACCTGCCTTCTTGCCTGTGTTGATACAGAAAACTTGTCTAAGCGTATGCGTTTAATTTATCTGCTCCTGAGATACTTCTCTACTCCCTCTCACACTATACAATGACAGGTGCTTTATTACATGTAGGCAGGAGAGAGGTTTATTTCCAGGTGATTTTATAGTCTAATTCTCAGCTTCTTTTTTTATCTCTCATCAATATAGACCCATCATCAAGGCAAATGAGATCTTTATAGAGGCAATCTCTTTTTTCCATTGTCTTTTTGATGGCGCCATAAAGTTTTAACCCTTAATATTAATCCTTGATATTATTTATGGCTGCCATTTATTATATCATAGCCTAGTCTGTCTGTCCATTCCCATGCAAGATTATAATAGGTTTGATTTGCAAGCACTGGACAAGAGTTGTAAGACAGGAGCACGTGACAAACATACATTGTGCATATGAATATGTGACATATAGTGATGTAATCCAGAAGAGAACAGCTGATCATGGGCATTTTAAAGAGGTTCGTGTTAGTAAAAGCAAACCGACAGCGATGTCTGAAAAAGACATAAAAATTTTATCGAGCCTGAACAAATACATGACTCAGCGGTTGATAATCATGTAATTTCAAACTGAACTCCGGGGCTTGTATTAAGTTGTTTTTTAGTGTTACCACAGGTGTCCCCGAAGCATTTCTTATTCTGAGGCTTTTTAACTTCAGTATTGGCTGGGATTGAATGACATTAATAGTCATTTTCCATCACTGCAGCCCAGAAATAGCAGCACCGATTTGAGTGTGAGACTGCAAAAAACCTCTGCCTGCAAGATTTATTTTCTGTCTTTCATCCACCCACTACATCTACATTACTTGCACTGTCGCTATCTTCATTCATTTTATATACAGTACAGTCTCTTTCACACTCACCCTCGGCTGTTATGTTTTCAAGAAAACAAAAGTGAAATCCAAGAATGAGCGCTGGAAGATGGAATGTCTCTTCATCATCAGGCCAGAGGAAGGAGCAGAGTGAGGAAACACAGCGCTGAAAGGCCCAAGGTCAAAGGTCAAGTCCTTGTTATGGACAGTCCATTAAAAATCTCCTATTTGGGGAGACACAGCTGTCTGAATTCTGGCTGGACTTCAACATTCTTCTGTAGTCCCAAACATCCAAATCTGTGCGACAGGGCACGCGCATGTTCATGCTATTATTTGTATGTGATGTATGTCTGCACATGCGTTTTACTGCCTCCATCTGCCTGCTCAAGCTTACATATTATACTGTATATGTCTCTGTGATCCTGCATATGTGTGTGTTTGATAGATTATGTGTATATTCAGTGATAGCAGGGGGCTACAAAGTTGGGCCCTCTGTGTGGGAGAATGCAAGAAGGAGACCCAAGATAACAAACCCCTTGAATAACCCAGACTGGCCAAGACACAAAGCATGAGCAAATATCTGCTGGAGAGCTTGTCTTTGGTGTCCTGAAATCTGGGCGCCAGTTACTATGTCCAAGGGAAACTAAGTGGGAGATAATTGCTACCTCTGGGCAACTTTAAGTGTGCAAAATTAAAACTACACATCACTTCTATGAACAGCTATGCACACAAAAAAAACACTCATGCGGAAAAGAAATCAGGAGGGGAGGTGTTATGTTAAGGCCTTCTGTATGTGATATTTTACAATGAGTAAGCCGTTTTCAAACCAACTCAGAGAGCTAATTATTGCTAGCTAGCTTCAACTGATAAAATCTGAGACCAACTCTTTCAAAATATAACATGAATTTCGAGGGGTAAATCTGCCGCTATCACTGTTAACCGCAGTGTTACTGTATCTGCTGTGCTGCGCTGTGCTATGCTGTGCTGGACACACTACAGTTATTGTTTAGAACCAAATTGTGTACATATGCTTTCCAGTGAAATTTGTCTAAACCTCCATTTTGCAACATCAAAATCAACATTCTCATATTTTGCTGTACTTCAGCCAGTACTGGAACAAGCAGCAGAACTTGTGGGGGGAAACACAAGCTCTAATATCAGATCTGAATTCTCACTGGAATGTAAACTTATTGAGAGAACAAAAACTGATTTTGAAAGCTACAAGAGTATAATCATTTACTCACCCCTGGGGGAGGGGAATGCTGTTCTATTCTGCCTGTCACACATACATATCCTATGCACACCCACTTTAGTAAAATGCAATAATCGTTTTGCTGGTGACAGTCAAGCTCAGCGCGGGTCACGTCAGTTGCGAGAGGCCTCGAGGCAGCGGCCCTTCATGGGAATCTGGCTCATGTTTTGCTTGTGAAAAGTTTGGGAGGACATTTTGTATAACTCAACATCAATCCGACTGACACGGCCTTCCGCATGTAATGTAAAATTTTATGTATGATGTGGGAACATGAGAGGATCACAGCTTTTACAGCTTTTTCAGTTCTTCCTGCTGGGACTAGTGCAATCTTCCTTTTAGTTATAAGGGCTGCACATACGCTAAATAAAGATAATAGCGTAATTTAAAAAGCTTGTTAAGAAGATGTTTTTGTTGTGTTCATGTTTTTACATGAATTCTGCCTGATCAATGGAGCTTGTTGTGGCCATGCATAGCAGAAGATTGCAGAAATGATTCAGAGCTGAAAAAAATATTGAATGCTTTTCAGGGAAAGAAATCATTTCCTCTAAATTTTCATTGATGAGACAATGTTCTCTTGAGTAAATGTGACGTTATTTTTCATTGGCATCAGGTTTGACTGATTATTTTCATTATCATGTAACCTGCTGATTATTTTTCATGGTCTCCATCACAGTACCCCAGAGCTCCCCAGAGCTCCCCAGAGGTGAATGCTCAAATGTCTTGTTTTGTTCAACTAACAGTCCAAAACCCAAAGAGAGAAACAGCAAATACTCACACAAGAGGGAATGGAGAAAGCATATGTTTGGCAATTTTGCTTGAAAATTTACTCAAGCAGTGGAGTTATTATCAAAATATTTGCTGATAAATTTTCTGACGGTAGAGAGCATGACAACCAATTTAATCATCATATAAATGTCTGTCTTATTGTTTGGTTGAAAGACCCCTAATTTAATGGTCTCCCTGAATTCAGAAACCAAACTTATACCCTTGAATTTGATTTCTGAATTAAAAAAAATAAATAAATTTGACTAAATTATTCATTATTCACTGTGTGACATCTCAAAAATGTTTGACACTTACCATTAATACATTTGGCTCTTTGATCAGACCAGACAACAAAAAAACACAGTGGGTTAATAAATGCAGTCGCCACTGGATTTGAAAGGCAAACACGTTCCGTCTGACTCCGAAGACAAACCGCAGCAACTCATTCAGACGTGCTTGAATAGCTTCGGTGCTCTCAGTGTTTACCAGTTTCTTTCAACTAGGAAAATTTGAATGTGATTAGTTGGTTGCATAACCCAGCCAAAACACTGATGACGTTTCTTTTGCCCATAAGCTTCACAGTTTGTCATGGTGATGGTTATTAGAGTCACACACACACACACACGCATGCACGTGCACGCGCGCAAACACACAGGCACACACAATTCAAACACAGTGTCATGGTAATGCTGAACCAGTGCCAGCATCCACACCAGTGAAGAGATCAATTTGAAAGAGCTCCTACAGGTCCCTCTAGTGTTTTATTCTCCTGCTTTGATTTCGGAGTGGACCTGTCATATTCTGAGCTCCATCTGAAAGATCCACAGTCCGGTCTGGTTCGTTTAATCTCATGCACAATAGCCTCGTTAGCATTTGGCTGAGTGATGACTTCGCTTTTCACACACCGCCGTTCAGAGGTGACAGGGAAGGAATCATACATTTGTGTGTGCTTTGAGTGGATTTGAGTTTTGTGAAGGACTCTATGAGTGGATGTGCTGAAATGCACGTGTAAAAGAGTTAAGAGTTACACCGGTGGCTTACTCTCTGAAGCCGCTTCAACAACTTTGCAGTAAGCCTGTGGAGAATGGGCTCAGGTTTTTAAGTCTGCTTACAGAAATCCTTTTGGAAAATAATACTGAGGCTCAACCTCCAACGGTTTCCTCACAGAGACAAACAAAAAAGGATTTAAGAGGAAAAGTAGGTACTCAGCTGGATAGAGAGTTAAGCAGGGGCCCAGCAAGAACACAAGTTTTGCTACACTCTCTGGAGAATGGAATTAAAAGTTAAATCCTTAAATCCTCAAAAGCTATCCCCAATGAAGAAAATAGATTACTGAAATAGGATTCTTTGGTTCTGTGTTTTTTTTTTACTATGGCTCTAGGGATAGCAATGTCAGTCTTTTGGTTGTTCAGTCGTTTAGTTAGTCTACCACTTTGGTCAAGAGTGGAATATATCATTGACCAGTGGATGGATTACCAAGAAATTTAATACAGATATTCTTGGTACCCAGAGGATAGATCTTAATGACTTCGGTCATCCACTGTCAAAGTTTTAACTTCTGCTGTGAAACATGTCAATGTCTAGGCTACTGGACGGATAGGCACCAAATATGATGGTGCTACCAGCAGGCTGATAAATTTGGCTTTTAATGAAATAACTCGACAACTGTCGGATGAATGTCGTGAATTTTGGTACAGATTTAAAAGATGAAATGATGAATCCTTATGATTTTGGTGAACTCCAGGCCTTTTTTCTAGAGATTATTTTGTCCCGTGTCCTTTGTTTAGTGCCAAGTAGCTAATGTTATGCTAAACCAAGATGATAAACCTTACCTTGTCTGCTAAATTAGTGGAGCATATTAGCATTGCCATTATGTCCATGTTAGCATGCTGACATTAGTATTTTTAAGTACAGCACCACTAGCATGGTG